GGGGTGCAGCACTGTCCACTGATGCTGGAAATTCACAACAGCAACTCTTAATCTTTTTGGCACAAGCTTCACCAGCCACATTTGAGAAGTTGCTAAAGGCAGGGGAAGAATCCTCGAGCTCTCTAGGAGACAGGAATTAGGGAGCTGAGGTGAGGGCTCTGAGGCTACTGGGGATAAAGCAGCTAGAAAGATACCAGGGACTTGCCTTTGGCTTGCCTCGCTGGCTGGGCAAAAGCAGTGCCCAGCTAATGAAGAGAGCCTTGCTCCTGATCCCCACAACCCTGTCTTCCTCCCTCTCGGCTATCCTTCTTTCCCTGCTTGCCAGGACTAAAAATAGTAGCTATGGGCGGTCAGATTGCATGGGGCTAAGGGCAGGTTAGGAAGGAGAAAATTTTAGAAATGGGGTCTGAGCATTGAGTCATCCCACAGAACGGAAGAAGATCCACAGTGCTGTTTGAGAACAGCTGCAGATCCCCTGGGATTTGTTTTCCAGTTAGTAACAAAGCCCACTAACAAACTCTATTTAGTGGGTTTTCACTTAAGTGAGACTTTCCTAGAAATTAGTAGCCATCAGTTCTGACTCTGTCAAATTCCATGGATTATACTAGTGTACAGCTCTCCTCCCACAAAAAAAAAAAAAAAAAAGGGAAGCATGGTAATATGGTGAGTCACAATCAGAAAAAAAGGAGCTTGCTTTAAGAGTAGCATATGCCTGTTCTTCCTATGAAAAGACCTTGGGGGTTTTTAGTAGTTTCAGTAGCAGTAGTTGTTTTTTGGACTTCAGTTTGCTCTACCAGTGAAGGGAAATTAATCTAGAGGAGAATGTTGACAGAAAGTTCTTACAAGGCTCTGAGAAGATAGATGGTAGCTTTTCATCAAAAGAACAAAGCAATTGCAAATAATAAAAGGAACATTTAAAACTAAGGAAAATAAATCTCTATTACCCTAAAAAATAACTCAGACTCAACAGTAGAGAATGTCACTGACAAGACAAACTGGATACTTACACAGATAAAGGCATTTGGCCATGTTGTAATTCGTGAAAATAGCTTAAAATTGATTTAACCCCACGTTTCAAAGACTAAATCAATCTCTATTTAGGCAGGGCAGATGACCTCACCCATGCCTTCTGTGTCAATTCCCAGTACTTCAGCTGGGGCTTTTAGAGTTGGCCTCTTGTAGGGGCGTGACTGCAGACTAGGAGGAATATGGGCTTTGGCCTAACTGGTGCTAATTAACACCTCATTTTTCAACAGAGCTGTCATGTCTGGCCCACGAAACAGTGCAGTATGGAGGATTCCCGAGGATTGTTAGTGAATGGCCTTTGCCGTAGGCCTGAGCCTCAGAGACTGAACCTGGCTCAGTGGTATCTTTCTGTAAAAAAATGACTTTATGGACATGACCACTCAGCTTTCCAAGGCAGCATTTCTGAGCATATTCCCCCATCTCTTACACACATGCTTAGACAATAGCTATTTTGCTGGTGCAAGGACAGTGAAACCTGTATTAATCATTTACTTCTGGAACTTCTTCCTCAAAGACATCCTCTGGGATGTTCTGAAAGAGCTCAAGATGTACACAATAGTCTACCATAACATTTATCTACTGCTTAGGTAAGAAAATTTCACAATAAAAGTGGTGCGGGATGTCATTTACGAAACCTGTCCTACCTCCAGCGGAGGAAGGCATGAAGAACTAGAACTTAAGCAGAGAGCCGTTTCAACAGGCTCAGCATCTTCGACATTTAAACAAGAGATTGCTTCCTACAGCGGCCATCTGCCCGAGCTTCAAGACACCAAATTATTTACCAGGAATCATAGCAACACAACAGATAAGTTGCTTTTGATCTTTGCAATGGTCTTAAGAAATATCCTTTGTAGAAGTGAGCTCAGTGACTTCTGAACCCTTGCTGTAGGTAAGAGCTCTTCCTAGGATGTAAACACTGACAGCAAGCTGTTGCAGGACAGAAGGACCAGCTTAAGTGAATGTACAACCTTCAGTCCGCAAAGTGGGAAAATAAGGCGTTCCCCATATTCTCACTCACCATCCTGCCCATCAAATTTGGGCTGTTACTATTGTGATTAGAAACTAAAGAGTTTACATATGTCTTTTAGTGGCCAGCTAAATCAACTGGTCATTTGATGCTTAACAGAAGTATTGTGGTCAGCTGCTTCTTGGTCTTTTCCTCTCTTTGGCTTACTTGAAAGGAAGAATGATGGTCTCAAGTACTGCATCACTATGGCAGCAATCCAATTAGTATGCAGTACGCACCCCCAGATTTTCGTTTCTGCATGCAGGACGTACGCTTGTACAAACGCAGCACGAATGGTGGCACTAGAGGGAGCTCCTGCAGCATCACCCACCTCAAAGCCTCCAATCCAAAATCAGACCCAGATCACAAGATTTGCTTCTAAAATCGTGAGGTTTTGGATTTTGAGTTGGTTTATTACTTATGTATTAACTTCTATGCACATTTTAATAACATTTTCCAAAATTTTCTTTTGCTTCTCCAAACTCTAGAATTACCAGCATCCCTCCTGCTCCTGCCAACAGCTCCTATTATTGGGTGGTTCTGGGAATTGAGACATAGCTCATTACCTAAATGTTTATCAAAAAAACCCAACCCAAACACTACGGATTTCTTAGTTTTTCTAAAACTGCTTGAAAAGCTTCATTGAAGTGTGAAAAAAAAAAATTCCAAATATTAAACTTTTGCCCTTATTGAGATTCAACCCTCCTTTTAAATCAGTAAACCCACAGCTAGGCATCTGGAATTCAAGTTAATATTTAGCCTTTGAATAAATAAGACACTTTTTGGGAATAATGTGCCTATTGGGGAAGTCGGGGTGGGGGGGGGAAGGCATTTACAAGATTGTTGCTTTTGGTTTGTATTATATGCCCTTTTCTGGCAACTGCAGCAGAAGCAGCTTTTTATTTTTAGAAAGACAGACAGCCAGAGCAATAATTTATAAAACCTCTCCAGTGAAGACAACAGGTATCCTCTCCAGGTACTTACTTGAGAAAGAATTTGTTTTCAAAAAGCAAAAGTTAATAATTTCTAAATAAAAAGAGTCAGGCTTCTGTAGAAACACCATGGTCATCCTTTTTGGAAGCAAATACACCTCAGATGTCATCTATAGAGGACCTAACAACTGCATCAAACGTTGTGTTACTGTATTTCATTCACAGAACCGCTCAGGAGCCCTAGCTGGGGAACAGGTCCTCCATCACAACAGAAGCCACACAGAACAGAAATGCGGCTTCATTCCTCTTCCTGCTAACAGCCAAAGTAGGCCAGACAACTCTACCTTATATATACACTAAGTACACTATATTTACTGTATAGTTCTTTAAAATCTAATGAGAACTCTGTTATAAATATTCAAGGCTAATTTACATGCGATAGTAAAAAATACTGCTCAGAGCAGTGCTCTGAGCAGCCAGGTTTGAATAGTTCTAGACCACTGTGTTCCACCCTCCCCACATAGGTGTACCACAATATCACAAAATACTCATTCATTTCTTGCTGGTCTAAAAGCTTGCCCAAAACATTATGTCATGAGCAAAAACTAATGTTTTGCTCCCTTCTCCAACAAGAAGGCCACTTAGTCCTTCTTGTATCACCAGAAAAGACAAATACCCATATCGGCTGTTACTTTCACTCCATACCTTAAAAAACAAGCAACTTACCTTGACCGCTTTCACTCCCCTTTGTTCGTTGTAGATATGTTCTCAAACGTTTACCAGATTTCCAGCCTCTCTTGCACTGACCTCCTCTGTGTGCAAAGTTTCCCATTTTCTACAATGCTGCAGTGTTCCAAGACCTCCATTCTTCTCAGCACCCTCTGCCTCCAAAACGTTCTCTCCCCTAGTTATTTTCTCCTTTCCGAAATTCACTTCACTGGATCACTTTCAAAGCTTTTATACTTTATTACCTCAGTAAGTTCCCATCTTCTCCTTTTTTTTTTTTTTTTTTTTTTTTACAAAAAAAACCAACTGACCACCCTATCCATGTCCTCACACTTTTCCTCTCCCCTCACGTTACTCTTCCCTTGCCGAAGTATCTTCGCTGCTACTGCTAGCTGAGTTCCATAATTCCTGTTTCTCTTCCTTCACGAATCTCTCTTCTTCTCCAACAGTTTCAGTTTTCCGATCTCCCTTTATTTCTGTGATTTATATCCCTTCCTCAAGTCCTTTCAGCCTGCCTGCATTGTGAATCAGGATATCAGAATGCTGTGATAATGTTCTTTTTCATTTAGCGTGGGGAATTCTTTTGGTTGATGCAAGCAAGGTTTTGTGAAGATTGTCTGACATTTTTATATGTTAATCATAACAGAGTAATAAGGCTTCCAGTACCCTTGTCCACCCAATTTAGAATTCTTCTCGACGTTCACAGTTCCCAACAGAGCCTCTTGGTGCCTGCCATCCTTGGCAAGAACAGCCATTGAGTAAAGTTGCTCTTTTCCCTGCTCCGCTTTCCTTCCTTCGCTTCCTCTTCCCCACTGCCATCCAAAAATGTATGGAGGAAGGGTACAGCCTGTTACACAGACTGACCTGCGTTCCTTCCCAAATAATTACTCCTAGGAAGTAACACACAGGAATTTTCAAATTCATGTTCCTTTGCACTACGTTTTCTCTATCTAAATCCAATGGAAATTAAGATCTATCTGCTGTCGTTGCAAAGAATGCATACTCATGGATCTGTCAGTGAAACATAACTATTTCACCAGCACTACAGATTCAAGCACAGAGAATGTGAAGTGGCACTAGAAGAAGACTGATGGAGAGGCAATTTTGTGTATGTGTGTGTGGGTTGCCCATGGAAATGCAAGAACCAAAAGGCACGGGGTCTCCAAGTCACAGAGAATCCCAGCGCTCACTGTAAGAGATAATTGTGTTTGTCACTTCACAAACGTAAGAAAGAATGCAAATGAAGGCAGTAATGGGGTTATAGCTACAAGGTGATAAATCAATGGTTGCACAAAGAAAAGACACAAAACTACTTAAAACAACCAAATCTTTTAATTAGAAAGCAACAAACATGCAAACAGCAGGTATAGAAATTTATTTGAACCAACGTTTTTACTATAATGAAAGTTACTTTAAAACATTGATCCAAGCTCCCACATTTGCAGGTTAAGGAAAATATTGCACTTTGCATCTTCTAGCACCCCTCATACACGGCAAAATGTTTTAAAAACATTTTTGCTTATTTTAACTTGCACACTCTCCCAAAGTCATGCACACAGTCATTCAAAAACAAAAGGTTAGGTTATCCAAAAGCAATACCTTAGAATTGCACTAAAGCTCTGTAAGGAAAAATATAATTAATGTCTTATACAAATTCCATTAATGTCTAGGTGCTTGCACACAACTGCCGGTTACTCTTCATCTTCATTTTCATTCTCCTGACCAGATCCTTCTGATCTGTCACCTTCCAATCGGTCTGTAAGACACAGAGATTTAGTAAAGAGAACTTCCAAAGTTTTCATTTTTTTGAGTAAATATATATAACATACTATCTCCCTGGGCTATTACACAATGGACAGAGGCCATGGGTTATACAGTAGAAGGAAGTCCGTATGGACTGACAGCAGAGATTGGATAGAAATGTTACCACAAGAAAGGAGAACAGGAGAAAAGCCCTAAAGGATTTCCAGGCATAAAAGTGAAATTTGTGTATAAAAGGAAAAACCTTGTAGCTGCTGACTGGCTGTCAGCACAGTAAAGATGAATACAAGCATAATATTAAAAAGAGATGGTGAAAACAAAGTATTGAAACACTGTTCCGGGAAGCTGAAATTAGAACAGCTGCAGTTAGAAATGTGTATACTCTAGAAAACTGGAGAATCACTATCTGTCACTGTATACATCAGGTGTAAATGTTTAGAGAAAGGCAAATACAGAAATGTATGAGGGAATGTGATTGGCTCAAGATCTAGCACTCAAACCATACACTGGCAGGTTAAGAAATACTCCACCCAGCTATAACACAGATTTTTTTGCTGGAACTGTTGTAACTCAAGTGTTAGGCACTTCTTCAAGTATTGTACTCCAAAGAAATCAGAACAAATTAAGAAAAAAAACCCCAAACCAGTGTATTCAGTTACAGCAGTGACGAGGCATACCACTGGGCTGGATACAGTGGCATTCTCCTGGCCCTCTAATTCTCACAGATCAGCGAGAGGTGAAAGAGGAGCAGCAGCTGCTGCCAGGCAGCTTCCTCCCTACCTCACCACCATACGCCCAACTGCCCTGCTCAGCCAGTGCCGGAGTCCCCATATTCAATATCTACAGTCACTTTCACCTTCATCTACAGTTCTGTTAGGTTTCTGCCCCACATCATACCAGCCTCCCAAAACTTCATCTCCTTGCTTCCTACCCAGTATGATGTCTCTCCATTGTCCTAGATCTTCTGTATCAACCCACTGCAGTCAACTTCTCCAGCACTAATATCCAGGAACACCAGTTCCCAACGACAATTCTCCATGCAACCTCTCATATCACCAGTTTCAGCCCCTAGGGAACTGGCCCTTCACTGAAGGGACATCCTAATACTTGCTGCCCCAGGAACAGCTGCCAGCGGCCTCATTAGTACCTCCCTCAGTCCTGTATCTTCACACCTTCCTTCCCCCCTAGACAATTCCAAGCCCACAATGACAGTCAGTTTATCTTACGACTCATTCCAGTCATCCCCAATAGCTTTCCCATCACACAGCACTCACCTTAAAGATCATTGCTTAGTAAAGAGAGTATTTTTCACCATCTAATTAGTACTACATTGCAAATAAGTTATTTCAGGATGGATGGTATGGTAACAACTAAAAATACATTTTGCTATTTTCTTGCTCTTTGTTTTGAGGTAAAAAATAACAGCTGGAAAAATGTTGCAAGTCTCACACTAAAGCAGCAATTCCTGAGTACTTCTATCAGGCAATCCTTGAACAACCCTTGAATCTTCTCATCACCCCCAAATATTGCTACAGATAGTTGAAGATCTTGACGGTTCCCCAATCTATCTGCTATTTCATAGACCACTGTGGTAGACAAGCTCTTCAGAAGTCTCTCACCTGCTCTTATATGATTCAACGAAGCCAACATTCGTAACATAAAAGAAGCTGGAACAGTAATAGTGTTTCTGGTCTCTTCCAGCATTAACTCATTACGTGTTATAACCTGGAGGCAGGGAAGGAGAAGAAACAGCATCAAAAATAAACACAAAGTTGTATGCATCAATATGGGTTTATGGATACAAAGTTCCTATGCAAAAGGCATTTGTCCAAAATTACAATTTGGGAGCAATATTTTAATAATTACTATCAAATAAAATTACACCAATTGTATGTGGTAAGAAAAGTCAAACAGTGGACTCTGCCTACAGATACCTAATTGTCTACCTAAAGAATACTCTAGAAAGATCATCATTCCGTTGTCCACATGCACGGTAGATATTAAGATGAATAACTGAGAAAAACTTTTGGAAATGAGATCTTGCACAAAATAAGGAGGACTGATGAGAAAGTGCTGTTACAGATGGCAACTGTTGTAGAGAACCAAGTTCTAGCACCAGCGCTGGCCAAGAATGTGGGAAGGAAAAGAGATGAGGTTACCCTAAACTCCTACCTTCATGCTGCTTGAAACTTCTGGAGAAAATCCAAGAAACACAAGCAATTACTCTATCCCAGTTCAGGAACATTCTTAGCTCCATAATTCTTTCTAAACACATCTACGGCTTGCCTCTAAATGACTTGAAAGAGTCAGCTCCTACTGTCTTAGCTTCAAGAAAAAAAAAATTTACTAACAAATATTTTTAGCTCTTTTGCCTCCCTCCTTCCTCGTGGTACTTCGTTGCCATCCTTCTTGCTTTCCTGTTAAGTTCTAATCCCGCACCTTAGCTCGTCTCTCAGCTTTTAGACTACGTTCTTTTGTTATCACTAAGCATAAAAATTTCTTTAGGTAGAAACAAATTTTGACCATTATTCAGTCCTTCCTCTCAGATCAGCTCCTGTAAGGCGAGAAAATAATGCATTTCTTTTTCTCCCTGAGATTCCTTCTCAAACATGTTCCTCTTGTGATCTCATCTGTTTACCAGGCATTTTGCACAGCTGATCACTTATTATTAAAAATTGAGTGACAAAAGTATCAGTACAATAATTACTTCTAGCACACTTATATGTTTTGCAATATTTCTAAACCCCAAAAGCTCCAAAACACATCACAGATTAAAACTATCATACAATAGACAAAGAAGTGTTACTTCACTCAGTGATACTACTGCTAAAATAACGGGAAAGGTTCAAAACTCACAAGTGGATGGTTTGGGGGTTTTCCAGGGGGATGGGGAGGCGGTGGCTAAGGGTTGTGGGGTTTGATTTGTTTTAAATATATATAGCACTAATACAGAGAAATAGTAATTTAAAAAACCCCAGTCTATTATCCCTGCTGTCCAAGAGATTGCACAGGAAAAATCCTAAACCACCCCACAAACATATTTGCCCTAATATATTACTTACAGAAAAACATCTAACATTTTGATAAATAACGTTATGTACATCACTAAAATATGATTATTCAGCAGTCAACTATGATCATCATAGGCCAGTTGCTATATACATTGTTATTGCTTTAGGGGTATGAAAACAATGTGTTACGTAACTTTACATATGGACTTTCATAATTGACTGGGCTTGCAATGTTTGCTTTATTCCATGAAGTTCCCAATTTGCAATCTTAACCTTAACTCCCTTTTATTCTACAGAATATTTAATACTACTGATTACTGCACTTCCTGTTCTTCTGCATATCATTGTATTGCCTTCAGTTAATTTATTTGTTTAAAGACAGGAACTACCTTCATTTCTTAATTCCTGTCAGTTTTCCTTCTAAATCTGATTGTTCATACTTTTTCCAACTTCTTTCACATATATAACACCAGATCATATATAATTTCTGGAAGAGTTAATGAAATACAAACTGCCTCTCTCTATGTGCTGCCAATGATACGAAAGTTAGCTATTATAAAGGGCAGCTTTTTATTTGTAGCTCATTTGTTGAACATTAAATAACTCTGTTAATTCAATATCAGTAATATGCACCAGAGGCTTTTGCAGAATCAGAAGATGCAACATTATGGTGAAAAAGGAGGAAAGGTTCTTACCTCATCTGCAAGTTTTCTGTTAAAAATCTTGGATTCTTCCAATGGCGACCAAATTTTTATATCATAATCAATACCCGAAGAGGCTAGAACTAGAAGTAAGTAATAGTAATTCTAAATTAAGCATGTTATGTCTTTATCAGTATTTTCTGCACTTAACTGGAGTTGAAGAAAAATACTTCACTTGAAACATTTACTTGCAAATGTCAGTTCCCATGCTGAACATACACCTAAGTCTCCATATCAGAGCTGAGCTATAGATTGTATATTTTTTAATATATATCTGAAGAAAACATATGCAAGCATCAAGAGCCTCATTTTGTAAATTAAAAACCCAATATATTTCTGCTGATGGCCTGATCAGTATATGCATTAATAACAAAGCGTTAGGATTTATAGACCCAGATACAAAACCAGAAGCAAGATAATTTCAGTGTATGTTGACATTTGATAATTTCAGTGTATTTCATGTAAATTGATTTGATATTCAAATACAAAGATGCAATGGATGCTCTTATAAATACTTGTTAAAATATGGAAAACAAAAAGTGCAATTATCTAGAGAATGTTCTGCAACAAAACTACTATGAGAATAAAAATTCCATAGAACGATCTCAAAAACTGGAAAACTGTACAAGGTTAACTGTCCTACAAGAAAGATGACCTCTTCCTTACATTTTCAGTGTGTGACAGTCGCATTCCATCAAGAAATCAGTAAAGCTACAGGGCATTTTGAAAAGTACTTCCAAAGGAAGCGTCCAACCTAGCTACACCCTCCAAACATGTACAGGAACACCATTTTAATTAACCATTTAAAAGTTCGAGGCTTATCCAATGTAGGGCAGTATTCCATGTTTCCACAAACAGTCTGAAAAAAACCCGGCCTTTTCTGGTATTATTGTAACTTTACTTGCTTAATTATTTACAGCTGACTGTTACTTTACAGCCATGTAAGCTATGAAAAAAGAAACAACACAAATACTTTTCTTTGTGTCAGAAGCTGCAGAATGATTCAGATTTTCCATGTACATGTCAGACAACATGTGATTCCTTCTGCTACTTTGGTCCATCTTTTCTATAATTATTTCCCCTAAATATAAATCAATAGAATTTCTATGAATTATATTCATTCTTCTGATCTCACAAAGCCAGTAAGACTGAAACACCTTCACTCAATTTTTTCAACAGAGCCAAGCAGAGATCAGATTCCAATATCAATTCCCAAAGTGTTGCTGGCATTTCAGTGACCCTACATTTCCCTTATTAGTGTCACGGAAAACATTTCATGTATTGAAGGGAGCAAGAAATGGAGATTCTTCTTACTGCATCTTAACTTCCTATAAATACTATGTCAGTAACATTTTTCATTCCAAGATGTTATTGAGTAAGGAGAGTTTTAAGGGCAAAAGGTCATTAGTAAAAGACAAAATTAAAAGCAGTATTCTCTAATTTATATAGGAAAAAAAAGAACAATAGTTCATTAATCATTACAATGCTCTATTGAGCAAAGAATTTAAGACTGAGCTTTAAAATGCTTTACTACAGATAACCTGAACATGCAGACTGTGAAAAATGATCATCTTACTTGGGTCAAATGGATGAGGCTGAAGACAGTTCACCACATGATTATCAGCTTCCAGCAGCATGAGATGTTCAGCAGTGTGTCGATCCCATATAAAAATATGGCCACAGTCTGAACCACTCATGACAAAGTTAGATCCCCAAAAATTAGCTTCCTTTATCTGCAGTAAAAACAAAAATAAAAATTACTTTGTAAGACTAGCTAGTGGAAAGCACATTCAAAGAGTATACTCCTGTTTCTGCAATAACACTGCCTCTGATGTAAGAACTCTGCATATGCAGAAATAACATTTTAAAAAATTTAAAGGAAACAATGAAAGAAGAATGATCAAAAAAAAGAAAATTCAGAAGGTTATAGATCTCCAGGGCACAGTGGCTGCTAACAGAAAAACAGAAGAGTTGGCGCGGAGTGAGCAGTTTGGAAATAAATGACAGCAGGTTTGTCACTTTCCAAAGTGACAGGGATGATGCTGGAGACAGGTACGTGAAACAGTTTTTGGGAAAAGTTCAGTAAGTTAAAGTGTGTGACAGGCTAATCTCTGGTGGGGATTTTCCATTTACAGAGGAAGAGGAAATGAGACAGAAGCTTATGAAAACTGGGGAGTGGGAATTAACCGGGTCTGACAGATAAAAAGGGGTCATGAAATCAAAATTAGGAATTTTTTCTCCCCCCTCTATAATCAATCAGATAAGAACTAAGACTTCTTAGTCCAAGGCCAAAATTAAAGCTGTAAGCCACTGAACAAGGAAGGCATTCAAGAAGAAGCGACCCCTCAGCTACAACTATTATGGTAATAGTAGATAAAAGTAGAACATCTCTCCCTGCAAGTAGAAACAATAATATCACAGTTTTCTTGACACAGTGATGATGCGTTTTATTCTATATGGTTGTTCCTGTCATTACTTTGTTGAGGTATCTGAGCACCTCTGCAAATTCTTTGAAGTGATACAGCTAACATTCGTCACATATCAGTAGTGTTCCCATGCTATCAGCAAAGAGTATGTGTAATACACTGCCAACACGGACTATTTGTTGTTTTTAAATTTTTGTTTAAACACACATGTTGCTGGGTATAAATTTAGAGAGCAAGGTAAAAACCTATCTTGCAAAGGCAGTGAATTGTTTGAGGGCCTACTATTCACGCTGAAGGTCATTCTAGCATGTTGGGCCAGTTTATGGAATTTTACTTTGCACTGACTGGACTAGCATCACACAAATTATATAAATTTTAAAATCACTTACTCATCAAAAATTATAATTGGACAGTCTTTGGTTTTTGTCTCCAGCTAACTCCTCTATAATGTTATTGATAACACAGTAGTTTGACCTGGCTGTAATTAAAACATTCAAGGAAGGCTTCTCTGACTGGAGAACTGTACATTTGAAGAAGGAAGTTCTACACCGCTGAGAATAACACGGTAATAATTTTTACTTGAAAGATGCACAAATTACTCAAGAATTTTTCATAAACCAGAAAAGATGGGAGGAAATTCACAAACACAGCACTGAGTTAAAGCGTGCATATTCGTTTGCTAGTGAACGCAACAGGGCTGGATGTGTCATTGACTGAAGGGTATTGAAGAAAGATCCAAAGCCCTTGAGAAGACTTCCAGAAAACCAGCCTCCTCTCACTGCAACTGCGTAGTTTGTGGCAGTGCCTCACAGCAAGTGTAGTGACGCAGACAGCGTGTACTTGGGCTGTTCGCTTCCGGCAGCTTCTCCGGGAAGCTCTGACAGCGCTGAGGGAGGCTGCTGGAAGGCTGCCTTTAGAGCTGGGGGACTGTCTCAGCAGAGACAGCAAAGGCTTCCCGTCGCAATCTGCCTTTCTTCCCCTGCCACCAACACACAGCCTCTGGTCCTTCTTCTCTCTGCGATGAAGAGAGGAACAACATCTTCCGGGTAAAAGGAAAAGGGAGGTTTTAGGGAACGGTATGCTCATGCTTTAGGCTAGTATGCTATATAATGGTTTATGACATCAATTTCCCTTTCCTCGTGTGAAGTGCTATGACTCAGTAGGTATTTAAATGCCTTAAGCTCCATAAATGTTCATGGCTCATCAGTATGATTGTTCTGGATACGCATTTGCTAACAATGCTGAGAAGACTTTTCTAATGAAGTGACCATCTCTCCCCTCAAAATGACTATAGACTGTCTTGTCCCCAATTCTGAGAATTAAAGAAAATAGCAGATACAGTCAATGACAAGATAGCTAGCTTGACCTCTACTTTACTTGAAAAAAATCTTTGGGAGACAAGCAAGTAGATAAATCTGAACTTTTTACTCCTCCTTGTTCCCATCCCCCTCTCCAAAATGTGGTAGCGTCATAGGATTATAAGAATAATGTATTATCCGATAATAATTTATACATATTAGCTATATTTTTGCATGGATTCATGTATTTATTATTTCTATTAGACTATACTATTTTTATTTCTTTAATGTTACTTCTTTATAAATAATTACTTGTGCAGTAAATGCTGTGTTATTTATTAATTGTGTATTTACTAATTCAGTTGGGAAACCCAGACTCCTTGGGTGTTTCACAGATCTGCAATCTCATGAGTTTTGGAACTGAAGGCAGCTGAAGCAGTCTGCCCTATGAAACAGAGGAGTGTTACAATGAAAATGATCACGTAAATGACAGAGAAATTGCAGGCCAGGAAAAAGTGGCAGTAGTATCAAATATCCATTTCCTTGAAATACAGTGTTGGTATTATTCTACACCTGTTATGTTCAAGATACCCTTATGATTACAGCCTGAAAAAATGTGGCTTATTCAAATTCTGTGCCAAAAAAAGCCACCCTAGAATATTTTTTTCAAGAAGCAACTATTAGGTTTGTTAAATGTAGAATAATCTTACCATGCCAAGGCTTCTCTTGCCCTCCCTTCCTAAAAAGATGTAACCCAAAAGAAGCCAAACAATTAGTCCAAGCAAACAAGAATGGGTCACTTCCTTTGCTAATGAAAGAACCTTCTTCAGAAATCACTTCTGATTTTACTCAGAGTAGGACATCAAAATAACCATTGTTAAACTTTTAGAAAGAGGAACAGGCTAGGCAGCAGTATCTTCCTCTATTGCTGTCCTACATCATCTATAGGGTGGGAGGTTAGATGGAGTGGCAGAGGGAGGAGGGATGCTGCTTCAACACCAGTCAAAACTCAATCACAAGATGTGAGCTGAAAGCTGAAAGTCCCATGGTTGCGCTGGAGAAAAGAGTCTGGAAGTTAAAAATTTAATCCTACACACAAGATTACACTTTAAACAGTTACCAGTACCTCTTACAAACTCTTTAAAGTGACATACATTGGGCAAGAGAGATACCTATGTAAACAGAAGTTTCCTGTGCAGCAGCTTTCAGAGTTCACACAAGTGATGCCCAATGTTTAAAGTTTAGCATAAAACAATTTCCTAAGTTTTGGTATTTAAGAATACCTCCAGTATAATGGACAGAATTTTGAGTTTGAGACCATTAACCAGAATCCTACTACGGAATTATTTTCCAAGTAACACATCTTAGTTAATTTCTAAAGAGGACAGTGCTTGCATCCTTGGCTTTCTTTTTGCAGTTTTCTCAGAAAACGCACTGGAGAAAAGGACAGAGATGACGTCTCGCTCTGTCCTTTGCCCCAGCTATCTTGATTTAAAAATCACCATGATAAAGAATCACCTTAGTAAGTTGAACTCTTACTGCTGTTAAAAATATGTACTTTATTTCCAGCACGAGCACGTCCAGTTTTAAATTTCAGGCTAGCTATATCTTTGTCTATAGAATATGTACCAATGATTGCAGTCAGTGCAATAAAGTCATCCTGATGTCTAAAAATAAGCCAGAAAAACTGCATTCTTGGATTCTGTAGTGAAAGATGTATTTCCAATATATTCATCTTTTGGCAGCTTTTGTCTTATAGCTCTTCTTAATATGTATTTTTCGTTATCCTGTTAGAAGTACATCTAAATTATTTCCAATAATAAATAACTTTATATTTTAATTCTCAATTGACTTCTTGCTTCCTTTGTATTCTCTTAACAACTGCTGATTTTACTTTTCTAAAAATCATAAAACCTAATTTTAGCACCATATAAATTAAGAGAATTGAAATTAACATTTTAAAATTTTGTTTTTAAACTCATATACACACTCAATTCTACTGTATGGATACACAACTTATACCATTTATTAGGTACACACAGATGCTCTATTGAAGAAAAGTTTCTTTTAAGTCAATATTTTAAAAGGGGTACTCAAGACTTGGGGTGAGTGGAATAGAGGAAGAATGGCACATATATGAAAGGAGATGAGACTAGGACTGGAGGGCAAAACAGTAAGGAAGAGACCAGAGAGACACAGAACTGAAGGCATATGGCAAAAGATAAATTTTGAAGAAAAAGAAAGGGATCTGGGGCATTTATTTTCCTCCAAGAGCTAAAGAGAAACAAGAAATCCCACCTCCCATCATTCCACTACCATCACACCCCCTGTTGCCATACTTTCAGGTCTGTTTCATGAAAAAATGTTAACACCTAGTACTCTAACGATATCATTTGAGCAGTTACATGACAGGGATCTGTGTGCTGGACCTAAAAACGTTCCAACTCTGCCAATGGTGCAAGCGAACATCAATATAATGCTACTTTGGCCTCTCCAGGGATCTGCTTGGTAGAATACCATGGAACAAAGCCCTGGAGGCAAGAGGAGCCCAAGAAAGCTTGCTAGTAGTCCAGGATCACCTCCTCCAAGGTCAGGAGCAATGCATCCCAACAAAGAGGAAGTCAGACAAAAATGCCAGGAGGCCTGTATGGATGAACAAGGAGCTCCTGGGCAAAGTCAAATACAAAAAGGAAGCCTACAGAGGGTGGAAGCGAGGGCAGGTAGCCTGGGAGGAATACGGAGAAACTGTCCAAGCAGCAAGGGATCAGGTTAGGAAAGCTAAAGCCCTGATAGAATTAAATCTGGCCAGGGACTTCAAGGGCAGCAAGAAAAGTTTCTATAGGTATATCAGTGATAAAAAGAAGACTAGGGAAAATGTCAGACCTCTCCAGAAGGAAACTGGATACCTGGTTACCCAGCATATGGAGAAGACTGAGGTACTCAATGACTTTTTTGCCTCAGTCTTCACTGGCAAGTGCTTGAGCCACACCGCTGATCAGAGGGCTAGCACATTTCTCCTATGAAGACAGGCTGAGAGAGTTGGGGTTGTTCAGTCTGGAGAAGAGAAGACTCCAGGGAGACCTTATTGCAGCCCTTCAATACTTAAATAGCGTAAGAAAGACAGAAACTTTTTACCAGGGGCAATGGTTTTAAACTAAAAGAGGGTAGATTTAGATTAGATATAAGGAAGAAATTCTTTACACTGAGGGTGGTAAGGCACTGGAACAAATTGCCCAGGGAGGATGTGGGAGCCACATCCCTGGAAGTGTTCAAGGCCAGGTTGGATGGGGCTTTGGGCAACCTGATCTAGTGAAGGGTGTCCGTGCCCATGGCAGGGGGTCCGTGCCCATGGCAGGGGGGGTCCCACTACATGGTCTTTATGGTCCCTTCCAACCCAAACCATTCTATGATTCTATGATCATCTTTTGCTTTCTGACAATATAAGAATCACAATTAAAATATGCTGAATTAAAAAATTGTAAGATTGCCAAATTAAGTTCTCAGAAGTAAAGTACCACCAGAATTATTCAATTTACCTGCATAACCTTAATTCACTCTTATCTCTATCTGTATATGTATTAAAATAGTTCATGTCCATACAGTTGGCAAGACAACTTTATCCCTGGGCTGCTCATGTGTGTAGGAACCAAGACCTCTCTAAGCTGTCTCCTTCACAAATTTAAAAGGGAAAAGCCATCAGCCCTCACCTTGCAGGAAAGAGGATATCAATAAAAAAAAAATAATTAAAATTAAGTTTACCACCATAGAAACCACAGGGAAAATCACATCATCTTCCATTGTATGCATTCCTTGTTATAGGTGCTCATGAGAAACAAAAGCAAAATCATCAACCCACATCCCAAAGAAACCAAACAACGAAATCCATTAAATAATCTGTATAATAACACATATGCAGATGGAGACTGAATTAAGACTACTTAGGCAAGCTTAGTTTTAATATCACCTAACTACAAAGTGCTGGATGCTATGACTTTTAAACTAACCAGTTTTTGAGCAATTAAAATTAATTTCTGAAATACAGCACAAAACTCCTTGTCATTAATCAAAGTTTACTCTAAGCCTTGTTGGTTATGAGGACTGAAATGTGCATTTACTGAAACATTTCACCCCAATATAATCAAAGCCATTCACACAAACTCTAGAAAATTGCTTTTGGACGTAGAGGGTCTACTCCTCAGATCTTCTGCAAAAATAATACACCTGCTACTCCTACAAAATACCATCTAGTGCTGAGAACTTCACATCTTCAAAATACTGTAAACAAACAAAAAAGAAATAGCGAGGAAAACAGCATTTGTTTCTCATGCACCACTGCTTAACAAACACAGTGACTGTGTTTTTCTTAAAATACAGTATTTTGTGTGAAAAAGAGTATCTAGTAGTTAGATTACAATTTAATAACTAGCCCTATTTCCTTTTTAATTCAAAGATGTCAAAGCTCTTCAAAATAATGACTTAATCCTCACTTTCCCTTCAAAGCAGTTCAAAATTGTTATTTAATCTTTACCTTTAAAGAACTTGGATCGAAAAGTGAGTACATCATAATTTTGAAGGCAGGCACATTTTATACCACTTGAGCTGACAGAGAAAACGAAAAAGTTGTTTAAAAAAATTACCCCAGATTTCAAAGCAAGTTCAGGGGAGAGAGTCTTAAACTCAAGAATACTTAAAATACCTAACAGGGTGACACACGAGTCACACATTTTAATTTTCATTTAGAGCAAATTATATGGCTTCCAACTGAATATACAAGAAAAAGTGCTTACAATACACTACAATATCCTTTTGTCAAGCATATCAATGCAGCAGCTACACTGATTCAGTCCATAAATCTCTACAGTTCCCAAAACAGACAAAGAGTTTGTACCATTGTTCGAGAGTTCCGATGACCTTTATAAACCATCTTTATTAAAGGACGTCTAATATTCAGTGTTTCCAGTTCTTCCATTTCTTTTCTTTCTTTCCTCCTTCTGAAGAGCTCCTGAATGCGGGCAACAGCAGATCGTCTATAAATTGCAGACAAAGAGAACACTACTGAAAGTCCATCTCTAAACACTGAAACAGGCTATCAAAAAAGACTACAAAATAATAATTAGGCACTCAAACACACTCTCCATAAGTTTGGAACAGACACCAACATTATCCCAAATATAAAATTACAGACTTTAATTTTTTTTCTATCCTGGCTTAGAACAAGAATAGCATGCAAGACAGTGGAATGTCAAGTGATGCAACATTTTATTCCCTCTCTGAAGAACAAATTTCAGCTGTTGGCAGAATTCACATGCTATTTTATTCTTCAGTGCTAGAGATAGCTTCCACTCATAATGACGTAGAAAAATTCTGAAATGAAAAATCTATGCCAAAACAGAAGTTTTTAAAATTTAAAAAGTTATTAAGCATCTAGTGCACCTTCCAGTATGATTTGGTTTTTTCCCAATATTTTGTTAAATGTATTTCTCTTCACTATTTCTGTATGACAAGACTCAAGATTTAGACAGCTTTAAAAAAAGTTCCTACTAAGGCAAGAGATGATTTGAGATCAATTATTGTAGCAACTATCCCATATGTTAGCAGGGAGGAATACAGCTGAAGATTTCCTAGAATAACAGAGAAGAAAAAGCTAAATTATGTATTTTGTTTTGTGAATGTTTAATTCCAGGAATCTACTTTTTGACTCATCTGGGAAAAGACCCTGGTACCAATTTTTTTCCTGTTTAGCTCTTAAGTTTGCAGATCCCCATAATTCCAGCTATAACCAAACTGTCACATCCCAGCACCTGCAGCTAACTCTTTTTCTCCTTTTATTCCATGTCAGGGTTGCTACTAGCTTTGAGGTCCTGAACACAGTCCAAGGGGAATGTCACTTTCAAGAAGGAGCAGGTACAGATTTTAGCAGATTGCAGGGAATCAAACTATTACAGGAATTTTTATCATAGAATGGTTTGGGTTGGAAGGGACCTCAAAGATCACCTAGTTCCAACTCCCCTGCCATGGGCAGGGACACCCTCCACTAGGACCAGGTTATGATCCTGAAAAGTAAACTGAGCTAGAACTGAACATATTTGTAACCTCAGTATACTGCTACCAGAAAGCTAGTAACCTTTTTCTTCTTTTTCATTCTGTCTTCCATCCCACTGTGTTGGGGAAGGAGAGCGAGTGACGGCTGTCTGGTTGTTTTAGTTGCCTTCCGGGTTAAACCACGACCATACAGATGTTGAAAAAAAACAACCCCAAACACAAAAAAAAAAAAACCCCAAATGCCCTACAAACTGTCATACTAAGACATGTCATCTAATACAGCTATGCTTTTCAAAGATATTTTAATAATTTTTTACAGAAACTAGAAGAGATTTGTAAGCACTAGCCAATAGATCCACTTAACAGTGGACTATTTATTATAATACATTTTTTAGAACTTTGTCTAGCAAACAATCCCAGAAAAAATAGACTACTACTACTTCCCTTGTGAGAGTTTTCTATCCCCTCAATCTCATACCTAGGCAATTTTCTAGTTCCTCCTTTTTATACTACACTAAATAAATATACTGTATTTGTTAGTCTTTATAATATATTATAAGGATTCTCAACTTTAATCTTCAACAGATTTAAGAAGGTGGTTCTTCACAAAATCTTCATAGAATGGAGAAGAAAAAAAAAAGCCCATGTTCTTTATCTACTGTGCTTTAAAGATCACAGAATTATTCTATTTACCAGTTTACTTCTATGTGAAGGAAAAGAAGGGTGGCATGTATATGATGTTACATAAAACACATAGAGATTTTAAACAATTATTTGTACATATTTGGGGGTTTTTTGTTTGTTTGTTTTTTGTATTTTGTTTTTTTTTTTAAGAAAAGATGGGCTTTGTGTGAGAAAGTAAAAGCAAGAATCATGTAATAACAACTACTCACTACCAACCCCATCAGTGACCACACAGGTTTGGAAATGGCACACACAGCTTTTCAGCACAGTAAGACCCTTTTGGTTTCAGAAGCATGCCTGCTAGCCTTACACCTATCACTATGATGGCTATTTGTATTTTCAGTGTATATTTCAGTATCCACATTAATCAGTTAATAAAAGATGAGAAGCTGTCATTAGGCGTGACAAACCAGTAGACTTGTCTATCTCTTTCAGAAGGGTAACTTGCTAGATAGCAGTGACAAGTCTTGGAATTAGAAGATGGTATTAAAGTAACTAATTGGTAATACAAAGTAGTTTCTTGCATAATTTTTCATCTTAGCATCTCTAGAAAAAATTAATCTCCTCCTCTAAACTTCCCTAGGCTTGAATGCAGACGTTACAAAAAAACCCCTCAAGACAAGAACCATGCATTTTTAAATAAAAGCAGCAGCACAGAAGCAACTTTTGGTAAAAACTGTCTTTCAACTACATTCAGTTCTGAATTACAATTCCTGATTTGGGGTCTTATTTTAAAAAGCATGAATGGATTGATACTTAGTTATTTTGTAAAGTCAATTATTACCTTCAAGAGGGAGAATGCAGCCCAGCACAGGTGGCTGTAACTGTGATACTGTTATCAGGCACTCTAGTAACATACTGCTAAAAGCAGGAACCTGGCAGAGGTAAATCTTCTCCAGAAAAGATAAATATGAGCCCAATCTAATGACATTTCAGAGCAAAGAACATTACAGAGAAAAGGATTCTCTCTGAAAGGTATTACTTTTACATCACGACAGATTTTCTACACATTTTTAAAGTCACATAAAAATCAATTAAAAAAATCCAACATATTTGTTTTTGTGCCTTTTTAATTTTCATTTGTATTTGTGATAAGCAATTCCCGTCTGTGCCAACATAAACTTAGATAGTAGCCTCATCACTTGGGGCATCAGCAGATGTGCAATTCATACCGTTCTGAAGTTGAGCCTAAGCTAAGCCTGACTGCGAGCTGCTGCTTTCCTTCTAATCTGTGTACTCTTCCAAGCACAAAATGTCAGATAATGAAATTTATGCACGTTGTGTCGGCACTGCTCAGGCAACTCCATGAATTGATACAGTTGTATTCACATTCAGGCATCAAATAATGAAGATGCCTGAGAAATGCTGGATATAGATTAATGTTATTAATTTTACAGTAGAAAAAACGTAAGGTCTTGTAAAGGCAATGAAACTGAACTTTATTTTAGTTATGCCTTTATACTGTAGGTAGTACTCTGACTTTAGAATAATTCAGTACTACTGTCTGGTCCCAGGTACAAAGCCTTTAAGTGTGTTTTGCCAAATTTTGTGGTATCTTAGTGCAATATCTTACAATAAAGTTGGTGTGTGTAGCCTTAGTAAGATTGAGCCCAAGATGATGTATGATACTTTCATTACTTCAATGGAGTATGTCTTAAGGGAAGATAATTTTTACATATTACTTCCAAAAGTAAGAATATAGACATGAACCAGAGCACAACTTTTCCCAGTATGATCAGCCAGGTTTGAAGTTTTCAAAGTCAATTGTAAGCATTAATTATCAAAAGCCCATTTAAATTAAGCCCTAGATGAGTAGAATAGGGATTTAAAAGTGAAGCCATTAAATTCTTTCAATTAAACATAGGTTCAGAAGAAAAAAACCTAAAAAACCCAAAAACAAACCCACAAAACCCCTGTGATGCAGACTGATCCACAGCTATGTATTATACATGGAAAAAGATGTAAACATGTAAGTTAAGCCTTTTAAAAAAAATTACATAGGGCATATTCTGAAGTGTAATAAGGATATATTTTTTTTTAACAAAAAAATCTATGCAATTTGCACAATTAACTAGTTTGTTTCTTAAAGCACAATATGTCACATATTGCTCTTTAAATTTTTTTTTTTTTTTTTGAGAGCGTGCTGCAGACTTCAGTTCCCAATCTATGGTACTTAACAATTTCTGGCTAACTAGCCCTACATGTTTTAAAACAACTACGCTCACCTACTAGTTAGAAGAGAGACAGTCAAAATTAAGCATATTTTTTCACAGGAGGGAAAACTGCACAATTATCCATCAACTGAATCTGTAAACAATCTACAGGAATTCTGTTGCAAACACAGAACACTGTAGGTCCAGATGTAGTGGGTGCCATAAAATTAATCTGGTACCCTTGATAACCCCGCTTCTTCCAAACACCATTACTGCAAACCTGAGCTATGCTGCAGCAGTTGGCTGTAGAGCTTGTGTACTTGCTTCCTTTTTCCATCCCTCTTGCCTCAGCTCCATATTGAATATTGAGCTCAGTATTGATTCCTTCAGTATTAAGGATTTTTGTCACTTCTTAAGTTTCCAAATTTACTTATATGCAGACAAACGTTGTCTCTTTTGCTATGTACCAGAAACCCTAGTTCCTTCTCTTCTGCTCTCTCAAATTAAGATTCGCCGCC